AACGGCATACTCCCTCAGTACACCCGCACCGTTCGCACCGATAGCCACCGAGATGCTGTCATCCATGGGATGAAAGTCGCCTTGATTGCAAATCGGGGCAACAATGTCTCCCACTTTGAAGTTCTTGACTGCAGAGCCCAAACCGACGACCTCGGCGGAGGCATCAGAGCATGGGATGCCTTGTTCCGTGACAGCAGGCGGGTACTCAGCTACCAGCATAGCGACGTCGCGGTAGTTGAGCGATACAGCGTGGATCTTGATGACTACATCGTTGGGGCCGAGGTCTTTTTCTTGCGGCAGATTTTCTTGGCTTTGCTCAAGGGTGAGAGGGTTTTGACGAGAGGCCTTCTCTTGACCGGCGCTGCGACGGTAGGCCGTGTAGGTAGATGGATAGGTCATGACGGTCGTTGGATTGGGAAAATGTGCTTTGGACGATTGCGCGAATAGACCTGATGAATTGAATGTCGGTGTTGCACGACTTCGCGATCGATAAATAAGAAAAGTTGCGCCTCTTCCTACAAGCAGTGCATAGTTGCTGATCAATCATGGTGGGCTACTCGATTCGTCCGATGGAGTTCAGATGTTCGTCATTTCTGCAGGGTGTCGCTAGGTGCGATCAAAACTGGAACGTCGCGACGCGGAAGGAACGCTACCATCAAGCGCGAAGGCGCTCGACCATCGAGACTGCGAACCCAGCCTCCTAAATCTGCAAACATTTAATCGGGCCTTTCGATTCCAAGACAGAACGCGACATCCACGACCTGCAACATGACCATGTTTTGGCAATGCAGGTCTAGTTTTGGCTCCAGGCGGGGCCAGCGGAGTGGAACTTCACTCCGCTTCCGATCTTTTTAGTCAGCCCCAACAACCTTCCACTCACGAAGGCCGATCCATGCGCCCTCTGTTTGACATCGCATACCATCAACAATCTTCCTATGCAACAACATTAGCGGCTGCGTAAATTTGCGACCCAGCGCGTCTCCTTGTCGAAGCTGCGTCGTTCCTCGCCCTCTAGGTCACCTAGCCCAATTTCTCGCAACTCTTTGAGTATCTCGACAGCCTTACTGAAACTCTCATTCGACGCATAGCCCTCATCAGTCAAGACACCTTGTAGCTCTTTCCAGAGTTCCTGGCTCTTGTTGAAAGTCCCCGCCTCTTCGTCGTGTTGCCGTACCTCCTCTGCTGAGAAATGGTACGGGCACGGTTCGTTCGTACCAAAGTGACTCCACTCACTGCGAAAATGGTCAGCCAGGGAACTTGATGGAAAACAGATCAACACACCTCTCAACGCGGATCAAACATTCTTCAAAGGGAAAGAGACAGTTGTCCCAGGTAGAGCCAACAAAAGCTTCTAATTGCTTGAGGGTCTGGCCATGGGGATGATGCATAACCTTGTACATCAGAGGATTCTTCTCCACCGTAGACTCTTCATACGTGTGTATTAAGATAGACTGAGACACTTGGTATTTGAGCTTATCTTTTGTAGTATCGTCGAGTGCTTTGAAGTTTTCAGGGAGCTTCATCAGCATGTCAATCCCATAGTCTAGAAGCAATGGGGGATTGGCACCGATGAACACCGGGGTAGCCCAGGCTCCCTGCCAGTCAATGATGCATGATATTCGGTCTTGGTCGTCGATATAGACGTTACCAGCATGGAAGTCTGGGTGCCAAAGTCTAGGAGAGACGAGCTCTGGGTCCTTGGGAGTGATGTACGGAACTGCGGCTAAGAATCTCTCTAACAGGACTGTGTGAGCCTCTGGAGACTTCTGATGTGGACTCGTGTACTGCCATGGAGTTTCACTTGGCTCCTGTGGGTTCGCATGGGCATTGATCCATTCGATCTCACGGCGAGCAATAGACTTTAGGTATTCTGCAGAAGATGTCCCTACAATCATTGTAAGTCTAGATTCGAGTTTCATAGGCATCCACGAACTTACAGGGACCGTGACATTGCATATGACTGCGTTGTTTCTCCCAAAACTCCTTTCGAGTGATGGGTCCAATGCAATAAGTTGATTGGATGTGACCGACGACATCTTGTGGACCACTTGTAACGATAGCCGGCTCGCATCCTGCGATACCACTATCTCTAAAATACAACGATCCCAATCTGAAAGTGTGTGTAAGTTAGACTGCCCGCAAATTCTATGTTGGAGCAAGTTGGATCTTACTTTTCAAAGGAGACCGAGAGTAGTTTCCTTTCAACGTCTACAAACTCACGAATAATGTCACACTTCCTCCGCAGTGGGAGATCCTGCCAAACTTCGTGCAGTTGGGAGCCACTCGCTTCTTCCATGATGATATATTCTGCTTGGACGGGATTTTGATCGGTAGCACTCCAAGCGAGGACTCGTGGGACGGGTAAGTTCAAAATGGTCCGGGCAAACTCCATAGTTGCCACTTCCGATGCCGTGGTAAGCACTCTTGGGCCAGCATTAGGGTGTGGGACTTTTGCGATGATCCTCTGGCCGTCTTCCATCTCAAGGCGATATGCCTTGTTGTAGTTGCCTTCGCCGATCTTCCTGAAAGATATACACCTCTTTGCGCCGACGGCTTGGCAAGCCGCTTGCTGAAGACTGGACACGTCAAAACGTCGGTATCGGGCTTCCAGCTGCTCACGCTCATTCCATAGCCATCGTCCGCTTGTGTAGCAGAACAAGGGATTCGTGTCGATTTGACGATGTGAGGGCACTGTGCGGCTACCCTCCAAAATGTGTAGTAAGCGAAGGTATTGCCGCTTTGCGATATTTGACCAGCTTCGACCAAGCGCCATTGCTAGAAGTTTGCAAGGAGGCTTGTGATACAAATAGTGAAACTAAGTTGATGTTGAGACTTTGAGACGCGCCGCCAGGCCTGTAGCCTTCGTGGGCTTCTCAAGTAAGATACTGCTGGCTCCGAGCCTGCCTTTTCCTCGGGCGTTGTCTTTCGCCGCGATGGACGAGCGTGGGGACGAGAACATTGCTGTATTCTGATCAAGCGGCGTATGTATCGGGCGCGTACGTATCAGGCATGCCTGCAGGTAGAGCCCGCATCATCAGCGCTCGGTTGACTGGCTCCATATTGACAGGTGTGGTGGGATGGTGAGCTTGGGCAAGAAGCCAGCAACCGACGCGACGCGTGTTCGGGGAAGCTTCAGGACGCATGCGCCACAGCTTGAGCTTTCCCGCTGTATCTGATCTCGGTCCGACATGCGGAGCCTTGCCTGCCTCTGCGGCGGCTAAATGCGGAAAATGTGTTGGTACAGGCTGCACGTCTCCAGAATTCGCAAACATCTTTCTAGACTGATCATCTACAATTTCGTACCTCTGGAATAATGATCGTCGTAGTTGTTCGCGGAGAAGCAGGGGCGCATCTTCGCTATTGCCTCAAGCGCTACAGACCAAATGACCGAATTCTAGAAAACGCAGTCGAAATCGTCACAATTTGAGTATTACTAAACCAATCCAGTGTTTGGCACGATACAACATAAAGATCATTGATAAAGCGGACAACAATTTCCCTGAAAAGAATCCGAAGATATGCGAAGATCGTGATGTTCTCATTGCAATCGATCTAAATAAGTACTCTCGGTACCTGTATTACTTACTTTAAATAAGCCGCCGCCGTTATAACTTTTAGAACTAAATGTTAGTATGAACGATGAAGATGCAAAACCTCAACCGCAACACCGCGCTAGTATTGCAACCATCAAAGGAACCAAATCGTCAACTCATCAGATCATCTCATCGCAAACCCCATACTCAGCCACGACAGGCTTGCGAACCGCCCCAGCAGCCACCGCCCCCATCCCAAACACACAACTCTCCTCACCCAGTATCTCCGATAACTCAACATCACCCTCTGCCAACCCCTGAACCGCGCGAACCAAGTCCTTCTCGACAAAGTTCTGGAAGCGGTCGCGATTGGTGTCTACACCAGGACGGTGGAAGAAGAACTTGACCGCAGTACCAAAGGCATACCACTGATCGACCATGAACAGCATGGCCTCTTCTAGTTTACGGTCCTCAAAGATGTCCTGGAGACATGGGCGGAGGAGGGAACGGATGCAGAGATGGATTTCTTGGAGTGGGTTGGCGCCTTGGTTCTGGAAGTTGAGGAGGATGTCGTGGAGGGGGGAGGGAGGGAGGTCTTCGAGGGAAAGATAGATACGGATGATGTGAATATCGCCGTCGAGAATGATGGCGGGATCTTGGATCTTCTTGGTCGTCTGCTTGCCTGTCGCGTCGGTGGCGACAGAGGCGAAGACGAGACCGGTGGGCGGGGATACGGCGGGCAGCCTTTGGACTGCTGGGGCGGCGGTGGAATTGGGGAGTTTTGCGCCTAGCGACAAAGAACTTGAACCGAATACAGGTGATATCGGGGATTTGCTTGAAGTGGCGGGCGCAGGAGGACCCATACCACCCTGGAGGGCAGGGCCGAAGCCCCAAGTCGGGGAAGTGTTTGTGTTAGTAGTAGTAGTGGAAGCGCCAAAGCCGAAGCGCGGCGGAGTAAGAAAAGAAGGCATTCTGTTGGTTAGTAGAGTGGAAAGTCCTGTAGTTGAGGGTGTTGCAAGTGTTGCGATTGCTGTCGTTGAAACTGTTTGTCGTAGGGTGTGGGGGACCACGCACTTTTATACTCACAGGGCGGGGACGCGCACAGACATTTTGCGTTTGTAAAAGGTGGTGAAAAGGTAAGAGTGAGTCAAGAGAGCGAGATCGGCGCTGTGGTAGAAGGTCTATGGTAGCGATGATCGTGACCAAAGTATTACCGCAAGTGAAGCGAATCATCAGTGTTGAGTTGGAAAGATGGATCAGGCTGCCACCCAAGTGCAGGGTTAGCGGTAAGAGAAGCGATGATAGTAGAAGATATGTGTACTTGATTCGTATAAAGAGAGTATGTACAAAAATGAAGGTAGTGAAATGAGTGTAAACCACATCGCCAACCTCAAGGCATCCGTCCCAGCACCCATGTGCTCTCAAAGGTCCCAAATCCCACATCCCCACCTATCCCACCGGAAACGATCAACAAGCAGCGATATCAGCGGGAGTGTAGATACAAGCAGAGCTAGGTCCTTGGCTGATCTGCTTAGGCTCAGCACCAGTATCGTTGCCCTCGAACTCCTCGCAAATAGCTTTGGTGTCCGTGATACAAGAGTTGGTAATGGTAGCAGTATCGCCGTAGTTGCTGTTGATACCAACGAAGGTCGCTGTTCCGCCTGTAGCCTTGACTTTGTCGATCTTAACGTGGCGCTCGCCCATGGTCTTGCAGTTTCCACATGATCGGTAGAGCTTGCCAAAGGTTGAGACTGTGAAGCCTGAGATCGAAATGGTACCAACGCCGTTGTGTTGGATGACTTTGTCTGATGCGCCCATGGCTCCGCCGCCCGTGACTGTGCCATCGCCGTCCTTCTTGAAGGTGAGCGCGTCTTCACAAACGTCCTCCCACCAGACGTTTTCGATGGTGCAGGCTCCTTGGCAGTGTACTCCTTCGATCTGATCGGCTCCGATGATGACGTTGCGGAGAGTGCCGCCGTTAGCGATAGAGAATACAGCATCGCTGTCTCCCCCTTCTGATTGACCGGTGCAAGACACTCCACGGCCGAAACGCTTCATGCCACCGTCGAATTCGCCGGTTACCATCATGGTCTTGGAAAGGGTAGACTCGCCAGCTGCTGCAGGCATAGTACCGCTTGCTGCACTACCACCCGAGCTGGGCATAGTGGAGTTGCCGGATCCAGTTTGACTGCCTGAGCCGGAGGAAGATCCACCACCTGAAGAGGAGCCGCCACCTGAGGAAGAGCTGCCGCCTGAGGACGAACCTCCACCCGAGGATGAGTCGCTTCCTGAAGATGAGTCGCTGCCGGAAGAAGACTCTCCACCTGAAGATGATCCGCTGCCCTTGCCGCTACCGCTGCTGGAGTCCGAACCTGATCCCGAGCTCGAACTGCCATCTCCACCAGAGCCTGAACCAGAGTCGCCAGTCGCATCCTCAGTGCTGTCTCCAGTGCTGTCGCTAGCGTCACTGGAAGACTTGTCCTTGCCGCTGGAAGAATCCTCGCTGCTATCAGAAGAGCCAGAAGAGCCCTTCGACTTGTCTTTCTTGCCGTCCTTGGAGTCGGAAGCACCGTCCTTGGAGTCAGACGAATCATCTGCAGAGTCCTTGGTATCCGAAGCGTCCTTAGATTCGTCATCACTGGCTCTCCAAACCAAACCGAAGGGTTGACGCTTTGTAACAACAGGTTCGGACTCCACCGATCTACGCTCGTAGTCGCTGCCGGGAGTAAACGTAGGAGCACCCGTCATTTGAGGGTCGGATGGCTGACCGCCAAAGCCTGGGAAGCCGCCGGTGGGAGCAGCGCCGCCGCCGGGGAAGTAACCGGGGTCACCGCCATTGCGTTGGCCGCCTCGTCCTGGGCCACCTCCCATTCCCAGTCCAGAGCCGATGGATTCAGAGCCGTGTTTGCCGCGGTGGCCACCACGATGACCATGAGCGCGTGTAGGAGCAGGACCTCGAGCCGTGAGTTCGGTCGGTTTAGCTGGAGCAGGTGCCGCTGAGACGGAGGCGATCAGAGCCGCAGCCGCGATGGTAGTCAGAGAGAAACGCATGTTTTGTTGATTTTCCGGGTAATCTGAAGTGAAAGTAGGGGAATGAAGGTGTTGCACAGCAAAGATGACACAGTCAAGAAAAGAAGGGTGACCGGCACTGAGCTGGAGAAGAGAATGTGGAAAAGGGAAGGTAGTGGAAGCAAGGAAGAGATCGTTGGTCCTGATGAGGATGGGGAATTTGCAGTGGGCGAGTTGCCGACGTCTTTATAGCCATCGTGTTTGGAATGCGTGCAGTTGGTTTACTGAACATGCGTGTCGGTGGTATACGACGACGTCCCACACCACCCGCACCCCAAACCTCCAAGCGCATCATGCCTATCGTCGGTTGTACCGCGGGTACGATGCACTCAATGCGATGACTGAGTAGGCCCGAACACACGTGCAGTCGTGAATCGAGGAAACGTGGAAACAGGCCTGGTATCCTGGAAGAAGACAATGTTTGGTTTGCGCGTCCCGTTGTTGAAACCGATCGTCCGACGGCTGACAATCTATGAGAGGGATGTGTCAGGTTTCATGTTGAGGATGTGGGTCTTGGCGGCAGTGACAGTCATGTAGGGTGAAGCTACTAGTGAAGATGCAGAAACGTCCCGCTTGTCAGTTGGTAGTCTAGAAGTTTTGGAAGTTTGGGGTTTTGTGTCGCGCGTTTCACTTACTCAACGGAACGAATGCAGGTTGGATGGACTGACCACCAAGAATGTAGTATTCGCTATCATGCAGCGCAATGCAAATCAATGAAATAAGTGACATTAGCTGTGTCTGCATCGCCTACATCTGCGCTGCTGACTTAGGGTCTGGCCTTGTCCCTATAACGATCTTGCTTTCCTAATTCAATCTTTGCGAATATCTTCCAATCTAAGGAACCGAGTGGGCGGTATATGCGAGGTAGCTCGGGTTCTCCGGTACTGCCCACAACGGTGGTCAAGTTGTCTCTCATGAACACGCGAAGTTCATCTTTGAGGCGCGAGGGTGTAAGCCGTGAGTGGTAAATCGTGCTCAGGCCTTGAGCTTGCATGCGCGGGATATGTCCATCTAGTCGGTTAGCACTGTGAATATGTGGATTGCATGTTTCGATCTGCAAGATGTGCACTGGTCTTGAGGACGGGGCGCTTGAAACTCCAAAGCGTTCCCACAAGTCGATCAGCTGGAATGGCTCGACAGCATAACCGGTAGCGAATCGTAGCTGCAGGGCCAGCTCAACATCCATAGCGTGTTCGCCGGCGTTACCAGTTCCGATCATTGTTCTCGGGGTAGCGTCACCTCCGAGGACTCTCAGGAGACGGTTCATCCATGCGTTCACGACACGCGAGGAGCGTCCAAACTCTTCAAACTCAAGCTCGCCGTTCCTAACTTTTGGCTTTGACTTCCATTTGATACGCACCATGGCATGCTGATTTTGTCCGGTATCTCTGTTGTGATACAATGCCCAATGTAACCCAGCGGCGTATACTTTGCAGTACTCGAGGACGGATCCGGGAATCCGGTTATCAGCATCAATGAAGCCAACGAACTTGCGTCCAACAAGCTTCGCGATGATCACGCCGAGTATCATAGCCTCTCCTTTTCCGTTGTTCATGCGTAGAATATGTGTTTTTCCCTCGGGCGTACTTGTTCCTGGGTGTTGCAATAGCTCTGGCATTCCGGCTTCCTCGAAGGCGCGAGCGAAGGTTGACTCACCTTGATGATGTACCATAACAGATCGACTCGCAACCTTTCCGAATTTGAGCAGCGACTCGCACTCCGCCTTATAGTTTGTCTGGTTGCTGTTCGAGATGAAGATGACAGAACAATGATGTGGAATACCACGAAGAAGACCTTCGAGAACTGTGATGTCTTCATCCATGCAGGGAACTACGATGGCCAGATTGCGCTCGATGCTTTCGATTGAATCTGGAGTGATGACAATGTTCTCCTGATCGACAGAAATGTTAGCCGTGCCATCTCCTGATGTGTCTTGACCGCCTGCGTCCAGTTCCGAGACAGAAGACATCTCGTGTAGCTGCACGTTCCCGACCCGGGTGATTTTTGGGCGGATACTCAATCTCATGATGAAGATGAGTCGATTAGCGAAGTAGACTCAGTCTTGCAGCGGGTCTGATGACGGAGTAAGGGTGGCTGAGGAATAAAAACGTGTATACTCACCAAACCCATGGGTTTTATAGAGAGATTCTTGCGGTCTGCTCGATGCTGCTCTTGACTGCATTGTTAGGCGCAGTAATAAGACGTTTGACTCTATGTGATCGACGAGCTATTCATAGCTGTCAGTACAATCTCTCGTGCGGAGCTAATTGCAGTGTGAATCCGAGGAAGGCTAAGACTTGATAGCCGATGTCGGCGTATGTCAATGTTGCTAGACACGCTGTAGCAGAGGTGGGTCCAGGATAACGTTACATTGTGTCGGGCTCTGCAGCGATTCGACCATCGAGTATATCGGGTACTGAGGGTGGCGGTGCTTGTTTGGCACTGACGCGTTGTTGACATTGTCAAGTGCCGCAATTGACAATCACAGTACTGGTGACCCTTCCTCAGGAAGATGTCCCTTTACCGGGAAAATGGAGTAGATGAATTGGATCGGGTTACGTTGCGGTGATGGTGCATTGCATGTAGCCAGTGTATGAAACGATGGAGGTCTTTCTCTCAAGCGAGTCTTTCCACGTCAAACACGACCGGCCGTGGTTGCTCTCGGAGGATACTTTGAACTGCGATCAATACCCCGAAGAGTTCTCGCAGTCCCTTTGAGTGCTCCTGTCTCTATAAATGTGTATTCACGCGCCGTCGCGCCCTCCCACGATGGATGCGGCATGGTGGTGTCGTTTCGTATGACGCGCGGTCGGTACCGTCGCGGCGCGCGCGTTGCTCAATGAGGCAGACAGATGACATCTCAATCTCAACACTAGAGGCTCATCCGGTCTTCTGCGAGGCTGGGGGCGATTGCATTGGGCGAGGGCTAGTGTTGGCGCGTGTGGTGTTGTTAGTGGAAGGCAGTTTCACAAGCGAAGTTTGTCCAGTGGAAGCTCGGCTATCCGCTGGAGCTCTGGCCTCGCCCGAACGCCCCCATGACGTCTGCAGCCCAGTGGTAGCACAAGGAGCACGATGCGGACCCGGGTACCATGAGAGCTTTCCCCGCGTTTGCGATGCTTTTGTACTATGTCCTGGATCCTTCTTAAGTCATCATTTCCCCGGATTCCCCTGCCATGACTTCCAACGATAATCCCGACAAGATGAGCTACATCTACAACTCGCAGCTCGTGAGCGCCCCTAACATGTGAAGATGAGCATTCGCTGACTTTGATCCGTAGGATGCCTTCACCCTTTACCATATCTCGCACGAAAAGGAAGAACATAGCTCCGTCGGCCCTGTACTTCCCGCCCTCGGTCATGCATCGTCTGGTGCTCTAGGAACCGTTGTGTCGAAACTCATAACATACCCTCTCGATGTCGTTATTACGCGCCTCCAAGTTCAGCGACAACTACATCACGGCGACGCGCATCCGCATTACAATGGCTTTCTCGACGCCATCGAGAAGATATACGAGAGGGAGGGTGGACCAAAGGCCTTCTACAGCGGTGTAGTGCCCGAGGTTGTGAAGGGTGTCGCCGATAGCTTCCTCTTCTTTCTAGCGTATTCATATGCGCGACAGAAGAGGCTCGAAGCGCGAGGTACTGGACACAGCTTGCCAGCGCTCGAAGAGATTGGCGTCGGCGTTGTCGCAGGCGCCTTCTCCAAGTTCTTCACGACGCCCATCCAGCAGATTGTCACGCGGAAGCAGACAGCGGCCATGATGCGACAAGAGTCGTCGACCACCATACCCCCGCTGTCCGGTACCAGGGATATAGCACAGGAGATCATGCGTGAGAAAGGCATACAGGGCTTCTGGTCTGGCTACTCTGCCAGCTTGATCCTGACATTGAACCCTTCCATCACCATGCTTCTGCACAAGGCCCTCCTACGACTGGTTGTACCCAGGGCAAATCGAGACGACCCCGGCGCGCGCATGACCTTCCTTCTCGCCGCCATAAGCAAGGTCCTTGCCTCTACCGCTACTTATCCGTTCTCCCTCGCAAAGACACGCGCTCAGGTGTCCTCACAAAAGCCCTCTTCTGGTATTGGTGAGACTTCGGACAAGGAGAAGTCGGACGAGCCACTCGAGTCGAGAGCACTACAAGCTAGGCAGCGGACCGTGTTCAGTACCATCTTGCGCATCGCTCAGACTGAGGGAATATGGGGTTTGTACCAGGGTCTGGGGGCGGAAGTGCTCAAAGGCTTCTTCTCCCATGGTATCACGATGTTGATGAAGGACCGCATTCATGCTGTCATCATCAGCCTGTACTACACTGTGCAGGGCGCGTTAAAGAAATACCCTAGCCCAAGTGAAGTCGCAAAATCGGCATCAGACAGCGTTCAGAGCGCCTACGAGCAAGGCAAGGAGCAGGCTAGCGATGCTTATGCGAAGGGCGCCGAAGTTGTCGGCAACGCAACAGAATCGGCAAAGCACGCCGTGTCACAGGGCTCACAGCAGGCGCAAGACCTAGTGGAGAAGGGCAGAGATGCCGTCAGTGAGGCCGCAAGCAGCGCCTATGACCAGGGCAAGAATGTTTTGGATAAAGGACAGGATGCTGCCAGCAATGCCACACAGCAAACTGGAGAAGCCCTGGAGAATGGCAAGAGGGCCGCAAGCGACGCATCGCAGCAGGCCAAAGACGCTGTTCTGGACGCCGATATCAAGGACATCAATGGCCCCGACAAGGGTATCAAAGAGTGAGCCATACGGCAGATGATTCTCTCAGCGCCTTCAGATTGTACATATACCCGATTGATTTTGTATTTCTTTGTTCAAAGGCATGTCTGGATGAAGGATGTATTTCTTTGGGTATGGTTCGGCGTCAAAAGCGTGCCTGACTTTCGTAATGCATAATGAGCAAATAATTGCCGGGTGAACTGTCCATCTACCTTGGGCGATCTGAAACGTCAGGGTGTCAGTATCCACTGCCACGCTTCGAGC